TCCTTTTCACCTGCCTCCACAAGCTGCCATAAAAGCCACAGCAGAGGTGGACTTGAGTCTCTCCTATTAGCCCTCCATTAGACTCCTGTCAGAAAGGCAGCCATCTCCCGCCACTGTTGCGATGTGATCATGACCCCCTTTCAGACCTTGAAACACCCCCCTCTCCCCCGGATCTGCAGCAGGGAAGTAACAGGATGACGGTAAAAATGAAACCCTGCTCAGACTCGGAGGAGAGGACATTGTGATTGCTTGTCAGTAAAAAAAGACTATTCCACGGCTGTGCAGGCAATTGGTCACACCGAGATGTGATGTGAAAACCTCAAACGCTGAATGCTGCATTACCACGGGTGGAAGGATATGAACTGTGGTCCTCTTTAAAGCATTCCAGACGCTCGGGCGACGCCAGAATCCTGCTTGTTTTCCTTACCTCTGCACTGTTTCGCCTCCTTAAAAATGAATAAACAGGGCCTCTGATCAAGTTCATAAAACTCGTGCCGTGCCAAAGCAATTCCCCAGACATGAGAGATCGGCCCCTACCATCGCACGTCTTTGACTCCTGTCCCCCCCGTGCAACTTTAAACCCTCTTACTGGACCCATCCATCAGCTCAGAGGGAACATAAAGCAGCAAACACAACGCGGAGATACAGCCAGCTTTTCAACCATGAAGGGATTAATGGGGACCTATATCCATTTACTGTGGATTGCAGGGAGCATGAAAGGTCAATCAGATTCATGAGAAAACGCTGTGGATGAATGTCTGCATTTAATAAACGCTGCGGAGAGCCAAGATCACTGTTACAATCTCCTGTGTGGAGCAGCAAAGCAATGAAAATAAATGGGCGGCGAAGCCGATTCATGATGCTCGGCAAACGACCAGTAAATCCCCAGGATAAGCAGACAGGAGAGGGAGCGTCTTCATCTAGGGGAGAAGGACGCTGCTTCGCTGCCATCGTTCGGCCTCACGTCATGTTTTAGGAGACCGTTGGGAAGGAACGCCAACCGGGAGCTACTCCGCCGTTCCCTCGATACATCGCTTGACGTGCGATGTCATGATATCTGCTGATGTGACGATACGATTTCATGTATGATTGTATCTGATATTCATATTTTTTATTTATCCAGCCTGCAAACTATCATTACTGTTCTGTTCTCAGTGTAGTCGGATTTGGTTGTTTTTAAGGCGCTCGATAAATAAACTTTGACCTGACTTAGGGTCAGCATTAACACATGCGATTAATCTAAAGAGCTTAATGTGTTAATATTATATAATACAGATTAATTGATGGAGATACGTGGTCAAGTTCTATGGAAGGCCATAAGGGACACAAATTGCCACTTTTGCTACAGGTATGGCTAAAAAGCTGTGCAAAAAAACTGTGGTTTATGACTTGGAATGACATAAAATATGCCAGTCATCCCATCAAACTTTTTATGCCGTTGTAAGACTATTGGAGTCGCAAATGTGTGAAAAGATGAGTGAGGAGTCAGACCGATTTGCTTCGTGGCAAATTTCAACGTAAAAATCACGGCAACGGACGGACTACATACAGCAGTGGTGGATTACCCTCCCACCGAAGCATAGCCAGTTTATAGTTAGTATTTTCAAATTAAGTTTTAAACAAAGTGGCTTAAAACTGAAATACTAGAGACAATAAGACATTTTCTTAAACATATTTTGAAAACATGCATTTTTACAGTCCAAGCTTACAAAGTTAAGTACAGTGATTGATCACGGAGTAGAATGTGATTAATCTGATTACATTTTAAATGGATTGACAGAAATAATACATATGAGCACTGGAAATTAGTTGAGAGAGTAAAAAGGTCGTTTTGAGGAAATTTAGCGAATGCTTCTTTCAGACTCTTTTACCCCCATCAGACTGCTTAAGTTAGATGAGCAGTTATGCAAGCAATAATAATAAAGGATTGTTTTCACACACGCACATTTTCGTCACAGCCCGGTGCTTCCTTACAAACGGAGAGCCGACTTCCCAGCTCGCTGATGGCAGCTGACACCCAGCAGAAGAATGAGCCTGTGTCGTCACCGTAAAGCCCGGCTGAAGTGCCGAGCGGCCTCACAGTGTGTGGCGCCACAGGTTGGCACACTCACAGGGGTCTTTATTGGGGTGCCGTCCTAAGCTCCAGGCAGCGTGCCCGGTGTTGACAAAGCCTGGTATCGCCTGCTGTCAGCCCATTCTGTGTGCGCCCGGCGGAAAGAATCAATTAGGCCCAGCTCACAACAGAGCACTTTAATATTTGACTTTTAATCGGCAGGCAGACGGCAGGACGGATCATGAAAGCAGGGCTGGCAGAGTCCGTTTTACTGATGTGGAAAATGAGGGTCAGAAAAACGCTTCGGAGGACGACGGGGGGGTGCATATCTCGTACCCCATTCGACGGCTTTCATGATCGTAAAAAAAAAAGTCCCTCGAGATGTGAAAGGAAAATAAACTTTTATCGCTCACAAGATACTAAAAGCCTTACGTAACCCGCTGCAAGGAGCGGGGAAGGGTGTCACAAGTTCGTACCGAAAGAGGCGCATCGCTCTGCAGAGGACAGTGGTTTGTGAGACGAGAGCTGAGCTGAACTTTGAAGACTTGGGTGTTTAATCCCAGACTGCTGAAGGCCCTGCATGTCAACAAAAGGATGAGGCAGAGAGAGAGAGAGAGAGAGAGAGAGAGAGGGAGCGAGGTGAACACTGTCCTCACACAGAGGGGGGTTTTGAAGTGGAGATCAGTCCTCAAAGAGAATATCTTACCAAAGGCCCGTCATTTACCTGTCGGCTCCTGCCAGTGTCACAGACGAGCGACGGAAAAAAATCAAAGTTCAGCTCCATCGAATATTCTGTCATGAAAAGTTTCTCGGCTGAGCATATATATTCTAAAACTAACGCAAAGAAGGTCGTCTGTTCATGCGAGGGTGATCTGATTAGAGCTTCACGTACTGCTGATGTTGAGGTACTAATGAGTCGCAGCTGTAAGTCGTAGCTTCTGCTGCGACTTACAGCTGTTCACACAGGATGGCTCTGATCTCGGCAAAATGCACCTGTACGTTACAGGATGCCGGCAGCACTGCACTGCATCAATTAGCAGACTACAGCGTCTACTGTAAACACATGGAGGCGGATTACTGCTACGGGCTCTCTAACTTTGCAACAAAAAAATAAATAAAAAAATCCTGCAGCTACAATAAAGTTTATGGATTTTTTTTAACTTTGGTAAAGCAGCGTGATGCACGAGTGTTTCTGAGGTGATGAATCTGTTCGCCTGGAGTAAATAAAGTGTTGACAGTTACTGCGGCGGATAGCGTTTGTGTTTTATTTCCTCTGGGATCTGTAAACTCCACGATAACAGCAGCCGTAATCAGAATCTGACATATTTCTCCGCAGCTGGAGGAACGATGCCCATGGAGGTGTAAAACACGAACATCCCGATTCGCTTTGGAAAGACACGAGGGTCGCACAATAAAACTTTTGTGATTCCGTAATTTGGTTTTAGTGTTAAGATAGAAAAACACCAACCGGTAGGAAGGAAGCAATCAGTATGAAGATGCATCTCTGAGGAAAAACCACAAAAGTCTCACAAAACTATTCATGATGCTTGACCCTTTACATATTTGTCACATTATAATAACCAACTTTAATTTATGAGATTTTATGTGACAGGCCAACACAAACTAGTCCAGAGAAGCAGGAAGTGAAGCGTCCTTTTAAGTTCAGAAAAATACATTTGGTCTTTAAAGCTGCGGTACGTAACTTTTATTAAAAAACAAAAAAGTTTTTTTTACATATTTGTTACCACTATGTCATGACAGAAAAATATGAGAGATAATCTGAAACATTTAACTCATCTACCGAAATACTCAGCTCCAAGAACCAATCAAAGCCAGGGGGAGGGTCTCAGTGCTGTCAATCACCCTCACGTAAGCGCTACTCACTTCTTCCCTTTTGCTCTCTGAACTCTACAGCTTCCTCCCAACAGCAGAGTCTATCCTGAATGCTAAAGATACTTGGCATAGTCTAAATAGTGTGCAGTGTGTACACAATGGTGATTGACAGCAGTAAAATGCCCCTCTTGGCTCCGATTGGCTGTTTTTCACCAGGAGTGGTTCTTTTCTTGAGACAGCAATAGCAACTCAGGGAGGAGCTCAATCGTTTCACAGATTATCCATCTCATACCATACATAAAAAACATATTTTTGTAAAAGTAGATTTAAATCTCCTTAGAGGTTTGTTAGAGAGCTTCAGAAATCAAATTGCATTGTGAAGAGCAACCACTAGACAAGCCTGGAGAAGTTTAAAGTAGAGTCAGGTTATAAAACAATACCTCAAGGTAAATAAATAAATACTAGCATGAGGATTGCGTAATCAGTTATTTGACAAATAAAAAAAGTTCAACACAGCTGCTGGCTTATGAAGAACCTGGTCATCAAGCTAAACTGAGTTGATCAGAGAAGCAGCCAAGAGGTCTGCACCAAGTCTGAAGGAGATGAAATACAACATTTTGGCTCACAAAACAAGTGCAAAAGTTTTTACACCAACTCTGTACATCACCCTACACACCACCCTCCTGCCTAAGCATGGTGGTGGCAGCATCATGCTGTGGACACAGAGTTCATAAAGGAGATGGATGGAGCTAAATACAAGATAACTCATGAAGAAAACCATTTCAGGCTGTAAAATCCCTAAAACTAAGACACCAGAACTATAACCCTAACCCTACATTAAACCTTGATTTCATACATGTTTACTTCTCGTCTTACGAAAAAGTCAAAATATGACTTGGGCAATCATGCCACCAGGCTAACGATTTGCAAGAAGGACAAATAACCATGAATCCTTCAAATCAAACACAGTGAAGCTTGTCGCTGTAATGCGACGAGTTGGGAAAAAGTTTAAGCTGCGGGAAATATGTTTCCAAGGCCCTCCGTCTGCGACAGCGAGGAAGGAGCGGTTTCAATCAATCTGTGAGTAGGTGGTGAGCAGCCTTACCTTCTTTTCTAAACAAGCTCCTTTAGATGTTCTCCTCTCCCACAGAAATCAGCCTCAGACTGCCAAGTTCTGCAAGCAAACACAAAGTGAATGAATTCTTGGCAAGCGCGAGGCTTCAACACAGGAGCCCAAACAACTCGCATATCTTTGCCTTTCCAGCTTGTTTTCAGAAATCCTTTTTAATAAAAAAAAAAAAGAAAATATGTTCCCATTCTGATTCACTCAGATTTAATCTACACTCGTCCGTCTCTGCCGTAGCAGTTTTTCATAATCCCGATGCCCCTCCCGTACCTTGCAATTTACACAAAGAGGATACTAAATCCAGTAAAGCACTCCAGAAAAAAACACACACACACACACACTACATGAGAGGACTGTAGAAATACAAATGATATTCACGACAGATAATTTCATATTTTACTCCTACTGACGCCTGAGGAAACAGGAAATAGTTCTGGGGAAGCTTTAATTAGACCTACGCCAGGAACAAGAGATAAAAATGGTCTCTGTTTTTTAATATTTAATATTGCCATCATCTGTGTAAAACTACCACAAGCAGACAGGTGAGTGATGTGCCTTTTTTTTTTAGGATATTATTCCAGGACAATAGCAATAATGTTAAAAATACATTCAAGGTTTTAACACCACGTAGAAGCCGGATCACAATCCAGGCAGACAACGTGAAATCCTTTTATTGCTTTTAGCTATGTGTCAGAAGCAGCCAAGGTACAAAAAAAAAAGCTGTTTTCTCTCAGCTCTTTCCATCAGGCTGCCATCTCACAGCATCACTACAATCTTGTAAAGTATGAGGCCTGGTTTTTCATCGCCTGTCAGGGAAGGCACGTTGACAAGAATGGAGCCTGCGTCTCGAGCTCGTGTAGATTGGACAGGTGTCAGTGTCCGGCTCGTGAGCGTCTCGGATGAGTCGAGCAGACGGCTCGTAGCGTGGCGAGGCGCACACATCCATGTCTGCTACTCACCACAACGGCTAAGAATAGCAGAGGGCTTTATAAAGCCGTGGTCGTCTCACTGCCGAAGCATGTCAACGACCCTCAGCTGTTCTCCGTTTGTGCTAAACTGAAAAACATTTGTGAACATCAGAAAGCCGGTGATGGAGACCAGAGGTTCCCCCAAACAGCATTAGCTTCCGGGTAAGGACCCCATCTTCAAACCCACAAACAGTGCTATGAAATATGTAAAGAATTGTTCACTTTTAGAAAGTTTTTTTCCCCTCATTATTCTATAATTATTACTTTCGTTTAGCAGAAATGATGCTTTAAAGTCTCCGATTTTAGTTGGCAATGATTTTTGGGGAGCAAAGCAGCTTGATAAATTTGACTTTCAGCCCGTCAGAAAGATGAGCATGTCAAATAACATTTCAATACTTTATTTTAGCTAGGGTTGGAACGACTCCTCCAATGATTCCAGTACCTCGATTATTAAAAAATGTATTAAATTCCTCGAGGAAAATTCATCTGCCCTGAAGCCTCGTAAAGTTTTGTTTTATTTAGCGCAACGTGTTCTGGCCAGGTCGTTATTTGTGTAGGGCAGCGCACTCACTGCCGCCTGTGAGTTGTTGCTACGTGCTAGCAGCATAAAGGCGAAGTCTCCGGGTTTGTGTCGTTTCTTGAGGGAACCAAAGTTTTATTTTTTTTAATTGACCAACGTGACTCTTGGAATATGCGATGCAGCTTTTCTCTACCAGGAACTGCGCGTTGACATTTTCAAAGCAAACGGTGAGAAGTGCGCTGCCAGTGAATGTGATGAAGAGACGGAGATATTTCCAAGTACTCGATTAAACGTAAAAATAATCGAAGGAGTACTCGCTATTCTTTTACAACAGCCCTAATCTTAACATATCTTGTTAAGATTAGATTAAGATTAGTGACCTGGTCACTGAGGCAGTAAAATGTAAAAAATGTAAAATAGGCAACATTTTTCAAACAGAATCTTTTAGGCACTACAATGAATTTTTTTCTCTTATCAACCTTGCTTTCTGCATCAACTATTAACAGTGAATAGGACCATAAGCAGTCAGCAACTTTTACTAAAAAGCAGGCTTGGACATAACCTTTCATTAAACTTGACTAAAAATAATAAGAATGACTCATACTCATAAGCTTTCAAAGCCCCAAAACTGGGCAAAAACCTTTTTACTTCCCAGATTAAGAATTAGATTCTCAACAATCACAATGTTGCATGTTTAATTCATGTTTAAGAAAAAATGGCAGAATATTTAGTTTTGAATTTTGAATTTTCTAAAATATTTAGATTAATTTCATCTTAAAAGTTTGGACACTTCTGCTCTAGACAAAGTGCCTCGTCATATGGAAGCATTTGTCACATCACAACAAACTTTCCACTCCACCATTATGTCCCACTTTGTAAAACACGTCGGTTGTGGTTTTAACCAGACGATATGTGAAAAATTTGAAGGGGCATGAATACTTTTGTGAGACGTTTAAGTCCACCTGAAACTTTAAAAAGCCAAGTTGAAAAGCAAGTGACATTGGTATTTAAAACAAGGACACATGAGAAGCAAGTTCTTTAGTCATCACGAAGAAACAAAGCCGCAGACAAAATTGGTTCTGACAGCTTTTTCACAAGGCCAAAAATTGACACCCACATGCTTGCTGCATTCAGCAGACACAGCAGGCTGCAAATGACTTACTTTTCTTTTTCTCCCAATAAAATAGAAGAATGACAGATTTAATATAAATAAGCGAAGAGGAGGAAGGAGGGAGGGAGGGAGGGGGGACCGGTACAGGCTGCGGGTGACAAGGTGCTGTGACGAGCGTAGCAACCGGGGGGGGGGATGCGACACCTGGCCTTGTCCTTGAGGATGATGCATCAAAAAGTGACAGAGCAGAAAGATGGTTATTACCCTGCCAAAGAGCAAGGGAAAATAGGGAGCAAGAGTAGAAAGTGACTATTTTTAGCAGTAGAGTAAAAATACACCAGCGCTTTACTTGATATTCCTTTTCATCAGAACATTTTGTCATTCCGATATTTTCTCCAAAACCGAATTCTGAACGCTGATTTCGGGACGACTGAATCGACTCGCTGGAATCAGCCATGCAAGCTGATGCTCTTCTTGACTGAGATAAGTAGGAGCAAGTCCTGCGCTCAGGTCGATCCTGTTGAAAGTTTGATCAAAGGAGTAAGTAAGCAGCAGCCCGAGGCTCTGTTTTCCTTCTCCGAGCCAGAGAGAAGGCCGATTGATTTCAGTGAGCTGGAACCTTTGCTTTTGCCTCCATCGATCCTTTATCTCCAGCCCTGTCTCCTCACCAATTAAGAGTTCACTAAAAAGAAACTCTTAATTATTTCCTCTTCACTGCCAAAAGTCTCTGCTGTGTTCACTTCTTCTGTTTTTAATTCGGCACGTCTCAACCTGTGGTCGCAATCGTCACCGAATGTTAAGAACGACGTCGATCTCGTGATTTTGCAGGGTGTTGAGAGGTGTAAGAAAAGCTCCCCCCCTTTTTTTTTTTAAAAGATAAAACTCGCCACACACGGTTTAAAAATCACAGCGTATACAGACCCGGCTGTTTACCCTGCAGCCAGATATCTGAAGGGATCAGAACGAACGGAGGTATTTTGGACGCAGAAATCGGGGATGTGTCTGAGTGTCAGGCGAGGAAGATCAAAAGATTCATTAGATGAGAATTAGATCAAACACGGCTGAAGTTGAGCGGACGCACAGAGGAGGTGTAAGAGGGAGCGTGGTCGACATGAGAGGAATAGAAATCCAGGCTGCGGAGCCAGAAAGCCGACTGACTAGGAGCGGCTTTAATTGCTGAGAACATCCACGTCCAAGGAATCTGCCGACATCGTCGTCTTTTTTTTTTCAACCCCAGAACCGTCAGCGTGTTATCCTCTAATCTGGCCACGTTCTGGGTGAAACTTTTATTTAAGCTATTCACACTCAGAAATTTCAGCCCTCCCTCCACCCCACGTTTCCACCCTTATGTTTAAACTTGTAATCCCATTGCATTGGTAGAGTGAGAAAAATCCAATTTCAGATAGCTGTAGGACCATAAATAATATTAGGCATAGCGGCGGCCGCACCACCCCAAGGGAGAGACAGAACAGGCTGTTGTTGTGAAGCAAAGAGAAGATGGAACACCATTTTTGGGGAGGAAAAAAGGAGAAATGGGGGAAAAAAAAAAGATCAATAGAACACAAAATTTGAGTAGGCCGAGTTGGACACATGATTGGCGAAGCAAAGAACAGGTATGTTTGAGATCATTCAAGGAGAAGCAGCATTCGGCTTTTATGCACCAACAATCTGGAACAAACTGCAGCTGAAACACTGAGCTCCTTAAAATCCAGACTAAAAACTCACCTGCTTAGAGTCGCCTTTGAAGCAAAATCGACAAATTTAACGATGGTACTTGACTAAATGAAATGTTTCCATTGTTGATTCTATGTAAAACACTTTGAAATGCCTTGTTGCTGAAATGTGCTATACAAATAAAATTTGATTAATTGATTGACTCAACTAAAATGAAAAACTAGCTATAAGCTAACTGAAGTAGTCATGTCATGAATGTCGTCCTCTTTAGGACTGCAACACAAACTCTTCTTCACTCTAGCCAGATAAATGACACACAAAAAATAGGTAAAGTGTCTTCACGTAAAATAAAACACCTGTACTTGCACTGTGGGCCTGATCCAGTTGGTTGATTTTTATTACAAAAAAAAAAAAAAAAAAAAAAAAAAAAAACAAAAAAAAAAAAACTCGGGGGAATTGGAAAATATTTTATAAAAAAA